CCAGAGTGGAATGGCCAAGAGATCTTGGTTACTAATACTGTATATACAGATAAATCCAACTTATTTATTAGAATGCTTAAGATAACTGTCCCTAATTGGGCACCCTCCAGATGGATCTGATTATGAATGCCATCACCCACCAGGTCACACAGGCATGCTGGCTGGGGATGATGGGAGTTATTGTCCAGGACTATTTATTTATTTATTTATTTATTAAATTTCTCTTTGCCCATCTCCCCCCAGTGGGGGACTCTGGGCAGTTCACACAAAGCATTAAAACAATAAATATAAATAAATACATACAACATTAAAAAATTATACAAAACATTACCAAAAAAGAAGGGAAGAAAAACTATACTGAAAGATACCTGGCTGGAGAATGGGCAGAATTTGGTTTTATCATTCATAAATGGCACATGCAACCAGAATGGCCTGTCCTCTGTCTAAGTAGGTCATGAGTGACCTTTCCCATCTTGCAAACTGAAGTATGAACATTCTCTGACATCACTGCAACATTGCCAATAACAGATGATAACATTGGTGGAGCCTGGGGCTATGGTCACAAAGCATGCAATGTTGGTGTTAATTTTGAAGAACCCCAGAACATGGGTGTGGAGGGGTGGGTTCCATCTCTAGAGACCAGAAGGTTTTGCTAACCATCCATATCTACTTCTTCAGGGCTTCTTTGCCACCTGCATGATGCTTGCCTCAGCAATCCATGCCATCCCGATGCCCACTGTGACACGGACCTCCTAACTGGCCATGCCATCTGCACATGCCAGCTGGGTTATGCTGGAGCTCTATGCTATGAAGACATTGACGAGTGCCGGATGGGTAAGGTGGGCTGGCGGGATAAGGTGCAATATGTATCACAACCCAACAGTTGCATTGCTCTTGTGGAGGAAAACACCCCCAATACCCACAGCTGAGCAATACAGGCAGTCCTCATTTAGTGACCCCAACTGAGACCTGCAACTCAGTCAGTAAGCAAAGCAGTCGCTAAGTGAAACCACCACTGTGCTTGTGATTTTACTTCAACTTTCCTTCACTTTACAGACCTGCAAAGGTCGTAAATGCAAGGATTAGCCGCAAAATTACTTTTTCATCACCATTGTAACTGTGAATGGATGCTAAATGAGGCAGTCACTAAACGAGGACTACTTACTTCTGGCCCAGACCAAGTGTCACCAAAACGTGCAAATTTCTGAGTTCCTCCATATGCTGCATCAGGTCAAAAGCAAAGGCTGTTGTTAACTCACTAATGAGTGAAGATACTCTTTTCCCTTCTGTGCAAAAAAGTAGAAGCAATCAGGGACTGCTTATCTTTTGAGAAGCTCCACCCACTGGGTTTTCCCTGGAGTTCCCTAGAACTGGGCATGCTGCTGCTTCTCAGAGAGACCAGTGGAAACTGAGGATCTGCACAGAAGGGAAACAGATTTGGGTAATTATTTTGTACCAGAATGAAGGAGCAGAATCTACCCCCAGTCGAGGCAGACCACAAAGGGCCGAGAAGCATCTGAGCTTCTACCTCATCTGCTATCCTTTTTTTATTTCTCATCAACAGTGACAATTTCAGCAGGGTCTCTTTCCATCCTTTAAATATTTAGGCTATTAGAATGTTGGAATTGGTAGGATTTCAGCCGCTGATTTTTACCGGGAGAGAGGAAGGAAAGGAGAAGAGATTCCCCACGGACACCTTTGATTGCCACCAACCTCATTTTGCACCTTCAAATCCACGCACAACCCAAAACAACAATAAGAGGGTGTTTTTAGAAATGTGTACAGTACTCTCCTGAGTTTTGCAATGCACCAACAGACATCTCTTGGTGGAACGGGACTCAAATGTCAGGAAAATGGTTGGCAAACTTTGTCCTTGAAATGAAGTTGGCAGAGTTTTTCTCTGGATTCCTCCTCTCTCCTGTTCCAGGGAGCAACCCATGTGAACACGGAGGAAGCTGCTACAACACGCCTGGCTCATTCACCTGCTCCTGCCTCAGGGGCTACACAGGCTCCCGATGCGAATCTAACATCAATGAGTGCCTCAGCCAGCCTTGTCAGAATGGGGCTTCCTGCTTGGACCTGTTGGACTATTTCCAGTGCCTCTGCCCATCTGGTAAGACTTTGGGTTAGGCAAAATGCAGATCGCTTTTAAGGATTTTGAGCCAATAGCAAAAAAAAAAACCCCAAAAAACCAAACCAGGAGTCCAGCAGCCCCTTTGGTGGCTAACCTATTTTATTCAAAGGCATAAGCTTTTCTTAAAATATTTAATTTCATTTAATAATACATTATTCAATAAGCTTTTATTAAAAGGGCTAAGCTGCAGCTCACGGACGTTTATGCCTTTGATAGTTGGAAAAGGTACCCCTAGGTCCTCCTGGTTTCTGGCGAGACAACACGGCTCTCCTGTTATGGATTTAACCGATAGACATACACATTGCACAACATTTGAGAAATGCTTGATTCGCATCCAGTTTTCTAACAGTTGGTAACATTGCCAGTTCTTAAGCCATTGTTACTAATTTTCCCTCTTTTTAAAAAACATTTTAAGCAATGTTTTACATGTTTACCCTAAGTCTTAACTCCATTAAAAGCCCCGTTGCAAGTGTTTCCAGAAACAGGCACCCCAGTTACAAACAGAATTATTAGCAACAGAAAAGTTAGAAACAGCAACTTTAGAAATAGAAAGCTTAGACATAGCAACATTAGAAATAGAAAGTTTAGAAATAGGAACATTAGAAATAGAAATTTTAGAAATAGGAAATCAGAAACAGAAATAGAAACATTAGAAATAGAAATATTTACCAATGTTACAGAACCAAGCTAACCAGGATCTGTGAAACATCACATCCTAATGACAGTGGTACGCTGAGCATGCTTATAATTTCTACCCCTTTCTCATGTTTTTTCTTTCTTTATTTGATTTATAATCCCCCTTTCCTTCAGTTCCTCAAGGTGACATACACAGTACTTCCTCCTACTTTCCTCACAGCCCTGTGAGGTGGGTTAGGCGGAGAGAGAATGACTGGCTCAGAGTCCCCCAGTAATTCCTGGGGACCCTCAGCCTTCTACACCTGACACTGTTGGTCATTTTCTCACCCCATCTCCTCCTTGAAAGCAGCCAGATTTTGAATAGTAAGGATTAGGAGCAAAATTGGGATTGGTTATTAGGATTAGGGGAATAAACAAATTAGCCAGAAGGGCTGAGAGGTTGTGACAGAGCTGGGGATAATGCATCTGAAGAGGTGCGTCCTACTTCCTTTTGGTTCCTTAAGATCTTTCCTTTGCAGGCTTCAGCGGGCCATTCTGTGAAGTTGAGGAGTGCATCCAAGACCATTGTCTGAATGGGGGGACCTGTGTCCTCCAGAGCCATGGAACTGCCTGCCTGTGTCCTCCTGGTGAGTGGACGGGGAACAGAGAGCCCAGCCTGGATGCTGGAAGAGGTGGCCCAAAGAGCATTGATTCCTTCTTTGTACCCAATCACACAGTCCATCCCAGCCTCATCTCCAGGGCCACCTAGAATCCCCAAGCCTCTGTTTCATGGCTCTGTGGATGAAATTCACAGATTTCTTACCATTTTAAGATAGGAGAGAGAGAGAGGAGGGGAGGGGGAGGGGGAGGGGAGAGAGAGAGAGAGAGAGAGAGAGAGAGAGAGAGAGACGCATCTGGAATGCACTCTGAATGCACCACTCTTTGGTTTTCAGGAACCCAGATGGAGCTGGGACAGTGTCCCTGGGGGGAATGGGTTCTAGTGCTGGAGTTCAGCAGGGGGGTTCTGTTGCACCCATCCCCAAAGTAAATGTATAGATGAGATCTACAGCAGACAAAGAAAAGTACTTCTTTGCACAGGCAATAATTAATCTGTGGAATTTATGACCACAAGATGTGGTGATGGCCATGAACTTGTAGGATTTTGGAGAGGGGCTGGATAGATTCATGAAGGACAGGCCTATCAAGGATGCCTCCAGGTAGGGGAAGAGTGTGCTTCCACATTGCAGCTGCAAGGGAGCAATGGGAGAAGACAAGGAGGCCACCATCTTCTCCTTGGGCATTGGGTTGCAGTGGTGAGAAACAAAATGCAGGACTAGGATGGGTCTTGGCTTGATCCAGCAGAACATCTTCATCGTATGTTCTTATTTGTGTAATGGTGCATGTGAATGTGTGAGAGAGAGAATGGGAATCAACCAGATGTAACAATTGGAGAGTTGCTGAGCAAGCTGTGGATTTGCTTGTGAGGGTCAGGAGATCAAGTGTGCAAATGGATCAACCAGACTGAGGTTGACGCTGATTTTGATCTAATCAGTACAGTATTTAAACCAAAGATTTAAAGCTTCTGAATAGGTGCCACTGATCAAAAGGGTCTTCAGGGAGGTAAAAAAAATTAATATGGTAGCCACAGCTATGTGGTCAAAGCCCCGCCCCTTTTTTACATGCGATGCACCCTGAATGCCCTCTGAATGTGCATGTAAGAATGGAGTGACCTTCAGTTGCATGATTGTGGCTGCCATATTGATTTTTTGGACCCCTGGCACTGATAGTCACATGATAAAAAGGGGAGGAAGATAACAAGGAAAGGACAGGGCTGACCCTACCTTAGTCAGAGTGGGGAAGGCGATCCTGAGTCTCAGGAAAGAAGACGACTTTATGCTTGATTTAAGATAATGCCACTGTAGTTTTACAGCCAGGGAAAGTCAATATAGGTAGTCCTCACTTAATGACTGCCCTGTTTAGCAACCTTTCGAATTTATGACAGCACTGAAAAAGTAACTTTACAGCCAGTCCTCACACTTACGACCATCGCAGCATCCCCGCAGTCATGTGATTACCATTTGTGCACTTCACAGCTGGATTCCGACAAGCAGAGTCAATACAGAAGCCAGCAGTAAAATCATAAGTTGCAGTCATGTGATGTCTCACTTAATGACCGCAGTGGAAGTGAGGTCATAAGCCCATCATGGTCATGTGATGTCTCACTTAACAACCATGTTGCTTAGCGACAGGGTTGCCGGTCCCAGATGTGGTAGTTAAGTGAGGACTACCTACAGTGAGATTTTTCACGTGCCAGAATCAAAAGGCCATCTTTGAGGACTTGGAACTTTTTCAAAGTGTTTTCCGCAAAGTGTGAAACCCCTTTCCCCCGGGTTCTCCCCCATAAGACCCCAAAGACGAGAATTGGCTATTCCTCTTTTTACTGAAGCGCTTCAAGAAAAAGGACTCCGTCTCACTAAGGGGAGAGGAGCCCCGAACAAACTTTTACATCTATTTTTATACTTGTTGAAAAAAAAAGGGAATAAACATATCTGGTTACACTGAGATAAGAAAATAGGTATAACTGGTTACAACGTTGCGCAGACGCACCTGATTCCATGTTACCTATTAGCATGCTATAATAAGCTTAGCCTGTTCTATGTTTTCTAAAATCCCCACTTTTGGGGTGTGTGTTTTGCCATGCTAATTAAGCGAAGGTTGCCTCTCGGCCAAGCCTCCCATTTTCTACATCTCTAACACCTTCTCTCTAACCTTCCTCTCTTACGCCCAACCACCTGCGGTTTAAATCTCGTCTTCTGAGCACGAGGTCTTGTTGCTGCTCTCAGAAGGCTGCCATTTGCTCTTCCATCCCAGGCAACAAAATGTTGTGAGTCGTTCCTGGCAAAACGTACATGTGTTTTCAGGCATGCACATCCTTTGGGATCAGTCTCAGCTCCGAGAAAGGCCTCATCCAGGGGGGTTTTAAACTTTTTCAGGCTGTGGCTTTTCTAAAATTGCAAATGCTCTAACGTGTTTGATCTTAAACGTTTTCATCCTCCAGTTCTGTTTCTTCTTTCCTTATATTGTTTTTTACGACAAGATTACAAGCAACAGAGCACCAAAAGATAGAAAAGGAGTAATGAAAGAGACAACGAAATACTAAAGCCAATAAAAATGTCAAAAGAAACTAAACAGAATCAACAAAGGGAAGAGAAAGAAAAAGCCGCCCCAAATTAAAAAACCCAGAAAAAATTAAGAAGTGCCAGTACTAAAATCTAAAATACATATATAGTCATCATGTAGAAGTCACTGGTTTCCAGAAAATACCTTATAAAACTATTCTGTTATCCAATAGAAAAGGATTTGAAATATCTCAACATGCTCTTCTGTGGTACGATGGTACCATGCAATCTATTACCAGGAAAGAACATACTGCTTCATTTTCTGATTAGCTGAACGTATCGCCTTTTCCCAAATGAATAAATTACCCATTTCCAAAAGCCAGTCCTTCATCTCTGGAACAAGATTGCTCTTTTTCATTTCTCTGCCTTCTCTTTGAATTGCATAAATCTATTGCCTTTTTCAGGCTGTTAGTTTTTTTTAAAAATGCCCTGGAACCCCTCATCAAGAAGCAAAGCTCTAGGGATAAAAAGTTGGCTGTGTTTGAGTGATGTTTTTTTGTGAGTTTGGGAAGGGGAGGCCGAGTTTTTTCAATCAGAGTTGGGGTTCCATGAGAGTTTAAGAGTAAAAACTCTCGTGGAACCCCAACTGATTGAAAAAACTCAGCCTCCCCTTCCCAAACCCACCAGCAGGAGGCAGCGACAGCAAAACAACAAGCCTTGTGGTCCTGAACCACAAACCCAGCTATGTTGTCATTTCTCCCAAACGTCACAGCAGCCTTGCTGCGACTTTCCCCTTGCAAAGCTGTTAGATGTTAACGAACCCCCATAACTCCCAGCTACTACTCTGACGGGGATGATGGAAGTTGAATTCAACCTCCCATCTGGAGGACAGCCCCATCAACAAACAATCAAACAAACAAAAATTATATTAATAGGATGTCCCCCAACAAGCTGGAGGAAATCTATCTATCTATGGGGTCACTAGGAATTCTGGGAGTTGAAGTCCACACGTCGTAAAGTGGCCAAGTTTGAAAAACATTGATTAAAATGAAGAAGTTAAAAAAAGAAATAGCAATAGGTAGAGCCATGCCACTAATTGGATTTCAATACACTTAACGGGATTGGATTTCAATTAATAAAATAAGCTGTATTTGATTATTAAAATAAAGGTATAAATTTTCCCTCCCTCCTTCCCAATTTCTTTGTCCTGGTGTCATCTGGAAGAAAATGGCTCTGGATTATGGGAATTAAAACCTAAATTTCTTGAATGCAATATGTTGGAGAAGGCTGCTTCAGAATAATGCTGCCTCAATATCAGAGGTGTCTGCATGGGAAGTCAAAAAAGTAAAAATGGCAGCTATGAATATGTTGTTGCAGCTATCCTCCTGACTTTTTTGATACACTCCTTACAGATGCCCCTGTTCAGTCTTATGATAGGAAATAGAGATGACAACTAGATTGCATGGGCCCCATTTTTAATGAGGTCCCTAAGTTAGGACTTGCTGTGGCCCTTACTAAACTCTGAAGAATTGTTTAGGGATACCAAGAGGAAGACCATTTCTGTTAAACTTCTCTAGTAGGTCTTAAGCATGCTGCAATTTTGGGCTGAAACTATGGCACATTTTCTTCTCAGGGCAGGGCTGAAAACAGGTAGTCCTCAACTTATGACCACAATTGGGACTGGAACTTTTGTCACTAAGCGATGCAGTCGATAAGTGAATTGTGTTAAATTTTACAACTTTTTTTGCCACGGTTGTTAAGTGAATCCAGCTTCCCCCACTGACTTTGCTTGTCGGAAGCTGGCTGGGAAGGTCGCAAATGGCAATCACGGGACCCCGGGATGCTGCAAGTGTCGTAAATACATGCCGGTTGCCAAGTGCCCTAAATTTGATCATGTGACTACAGAGATGCTGCAATGGTCATAAATGCGAGAATCGGTTGTAAGTCACTTTTTTCAGTGCGGTCATAAGTTCGAACAGTTGTTAAATGAATGGGCACAAGTTCAGGACTACCTGTATTCTGCCTCCTTCCAACTTTTTCTGATTTTACTCAGGATAGAGCAGGGGTGTCTGCAAGGAGGGTATCAAAAAGGTCGAGATGGTGGCCACAAGCATGGGACTGAAGTCTCACCCCTTTTTAAAATGTGCATTGCCATCTTGACTTTTTTGATACCCCTGCAGCCACCCCTGGGATAGAAAGAAGCTTTGGGTAAGGACAGGACAAAATGACGAGGGCAGGAGAAGATTGATGGTGTCAAGGCTTTGTCTCCCAGGTTTCGAGGGACTTCAGTGCGAGACAGATACTGATTTCTGCCGCGGTGCCCCTTGCGAGCACGGAACCTGTGTGAATGCCCCCGGCTCCTTCACATGTGTTTGCGCTGTGGGATTCACAGGACCTCTCTGCAAGGAATTCAGTGACCCTTGCTGGAAGTTTCAGTGCCTTAACGGAGGCAGTTGCCATGGGACAGAATCCGGGTAAGGATGGATCTGTCAGCTCTTCAAGGTAAACTAAGAAACCAGAGTCACGTGTGCTAATACTACTTTTATTATAAGGTTATAGTAACAGAATCTTGCAAGTCTGAATGCACTGTCGCCCTCCTTCCTTCCCTCCCTCCCTCCCTCCCTCATCTTCGTGAGAACTAGGGAGGATCTTGTCTGAGACGCTTTCTATCTGCTAGGCTTAACCCTTCCTTGGAAGGAAGTCTAATGAGTGTGGGGACTGGCTACATACACAACAGAGACAGGATAAGGACTGGCAGTGGGGACAGAACATTTTACACCACTTTGGTTTTCTGGTGACTCAAGAAGAAATGGAAGATGTTTCAACTTAGTCATGGGAAAAGGCTCTAAGCCTTAGGAAGACAGGGTTAACCCGGGGCCTGTCCCCAGGGTTCAGTTGAAATGCTCTCCCTCTATTTTTGAGTCAATAATAAATTAAACTATAGGTAGTCCTCAGTTACTGACTACAATTGGGTCTGGCAACTCCTTTGCTAAGCAACGCAGTTGTAAAGTGAAACATCATGTGACTGTGTTGACTTATGATGTCAGTTCCAGCTGCAGTCGTTAAGCAAGTCACATGACCATGACTTACAACTTCCTGCCAGCTTCCCCACTGACTTTGCTTGTTGGAAACTGGCGGTGAAGGTCGCAAATGGCAATCACATAATCACGGGGACATTGTGATGGTCATAAGTGCAAGGACCAGTTATAAGTCACTTTTTTCAGCGCCATCGTAACTTTGAACTGAAATGAATGGTCGTAAGTTGAGGACTACCCGTATTAGAGTCACACTTAAAACTTCTGCCATGATCAGCAGACAGGCTTCCACGCTCTGGATCAATGATAGCTTCTACCTCTTCTTCAAGGCAGGCCCATGTTGAGTGTTTTGTCTAACCATGAAGTGATGAGCATTTCCCTGGCTCTCTTTCCATGCCTTTGGCAGGGGGTTGACCCACAAAGGTTAAGGAGATGAAGAGTTTTACCAGACTGCTTGCAGGGTATGATAAAAAAAGTCAAGATGGCAACTGGGACGCTGAGATCAAAGCACCACCAATTTTTTAATGTGCATCACATATGCAACACACATAGAAACCAGGCAGAGCTTTGATCGTACCACCACGGTTACCACCTTGACTTTTTGACCACACCCTGTGGACACCTTGTGACTTACTCTTCATCTCAGGCAGGGACTTTCTTCTCTGTTAAATTTTTGTGGGTCAGAGGCCCAGAACATGAAAAAAGAAAAAAAAGTCTGGTGGACGTACTATATAATTTTACCTTCCCAAATCCCAGAACAGAACCTCAATTGAATGGTCCCCAGTTTAATGGGAACAGCTCCCCAAATAGCACATGGGCCGGTTGCATCCAAAGGAGTCCAGTCAAGTCCCTTAAAAGCTGTGCAAACCCAGTGCTCCTTATTCCCAGCAATTCCCTTCATTAGCACTGCAGCCTCTTTATGCAAATGGCACTAATTAATCATTTGTGGCAATTAACGTCATTGGCATCATGACATAATTACATGAACTGATGTGCATGACCTAATCCACATAATTTGCATCACGTTATCATGCAAGTCATGGAAACTGTGATGGGGAGGGACACTGGCATTTAACTGAGAATTGCAAATGACAAAAACTTTCTTCTCTGTTTGGCTTGTGAAACTGTGGGTTGCCCTGTAATCCTGCAATCGTTCTGTTGGAATATTGCAAAATTCTTCTGGGATAATACGAAGCAGACTCATTTCAGGTTTACCATGGACCAAAGCTTTTCCATAGACAGGATTATTTAAAAAGCAATCACACCCAGTCACACACAGAGGTATTAAACCAAAGAGACTTTCCTTGTTTTTCACCACCCTACTGAAAAAAACATTTCTTGCTGATAAAGATGAATAATATGGACCATGAAACAAATGTTGATACTTCTGTACAAATCTCGGATAAACCAGATTATGGAGATGAGAATGATTTAGATTCTAAACGATGGTTGAGTAGAGAAGCCACAATGCCTGGGTTCACATATCATATCAAGCCATGGATTTGTTTAACCATGTTTTGTTGAATGAGCCACCCTGGCCAGATTCACACATAACACTAAGCAGTAAACCATGGTTTAAAAGCCACGGGGTCCTCAGTGATGCCAAGCCAAACCATGGCTTTGAAGATGCACAAATCCAGCCCCGTGGCGAGTGAATCTGGCCAATAAGTCAAGCATTACAGTTGTGGAATCGGATCTTGACTTTCTCATGAGGTCACGAGATGATCGTGTGAAGCGATAGCTGCAACGTGATTTGAAAGAAGCAGTTCAGCCCTGTAGTGTTATGGCAGGGGGTGGGTGGGCAAGCCTGGGTGTCCCCAGGGGAGAAGTGGGGGGCAGAAGTCACCATGCTCCTCAGGACATCACCAGTCAAACAACGTATAGGACCTCATCCCCCGACCCCTGAGCCCTCCAGAAGGAGCAGGGTTGGAAAAAGGGGACAGGGGGATTTCCCCCCCCAAGGGCATTGTGGCTCCTTGAAATCTCTTAGATCCTTCAAAAACACATCCATAAAATCTTGGGCCCCGGTCAGGCAGGGCAAAAAGAGGAAGAGCCGTCTAGGCACCCACCCACCACTGCTTGAGACAAGTCAGATTCTCGGCCTTGATCAGGAGTGTCTGCTAAGTATGGTCAGAAAAGTCAAAATGGTGGTCATGACGGTGTGATCAAAGTTCCACCTGGCTGTTATGCTGGTGTGAGGATTTTGAACTTTTGAGGGCACTCTAAAAATTTTGAAAATGCAGTCCCTGCCATGAGATGGGATGCTGTGTAATTTGTAAATAAAATGAAGTGAAGTGAAGTGAAGTGAAGTGAAGATGAAATGAAGTGAAGTGAAATGAAATAATAAAATAAAATGAAGTGAAATGAAATGAAATGAAATAAAGTGAAATGAATGAAATAAAATAAAATGAAGTGAAGTGAAATAAAATAAAATAAAATAGAATAGAATAAAATGAAATAAAGTGAAATGAAATGAAAAATAAAATAAAGTGAAGTGAAATGAAATGAATGAAATAAAATCAAATGAAGTGAAATGAAATGAAATAAAGTGAAATGAAATGAAATGAAATAAAGTGAAATGAAACGAATGAAATAAAATGAAATGAAATAAAGTGAAATGAAATGAATGAAATAAAATGAAGTGAAATGAAATGAAATAGTGAAATGAAAAATAAAATAAAATAAAATAAAATAAAATAAAAAAAGCATTTCTCTCTTTCTCCCCCCTTCCCCTCCCTCCCAGACCACTTTGTACGTGTTCGCCAGGTTGGACTGGCCAGAACTGTGACGCAGAGGTAGACGCCTGCACTTCCAGCCCGTGCCACCAGAGGGCCACCTGCCTGAGCCGCCAGGGAGCCTTCCGCTGTCTCTGCCCCGGCGGCTACGTAGGTAACGCGGTCTTCCGTCCGAGTCGCAGCTCCGCCTCCGGACAGCCCAGCCGCTCTCGGGCGCAGCGGCCGCTCCTCCCTGGAGCCCTGACTCTTTCCTCCCTTGCAGGGCCGACGTGCGAGGCAGATGTAGACGAGTGCTCGTCCAGCCCCTGTTGGAATTCTGGCACTTGCCTGAACAGCCCTGGAGGTTTCCACTGCCTCTGCTCCAGGGGTTACACCGGACCCAAATGTCGGGTTACCCTGGACCTTTGCTCAGCCCGTGAGTATCCAGCAGCGCCAGCTCGGCACGGTCTCTGAAGAATCCTCTTGGTTTATTCTCTCACACGTCACTGCCCTGCAAAAGTGCACTTTAAAAATGCAAAAGCGAGAGTTCAAAGTTGGTTGGAATGCTTCCTTTATCCAGTGTTTTCCAAACTGGGCAATTTTTTAAGATGGGTGGACTGCAACTCCCAGAATTCCCCA